ATTTGAATATGGCAAAGCCATGAGAGCTGTTCACTTTAGAGAAGGGATGTCTTCGGGGAGAACATTCTGAGAGAAACAAGCTAGTATCTATGGAACATATGGGGAAAACATCGAAAACCGTACATGCAACCAGCCCATTCGCCTGGGTTCGAACCCAAAGGAGGTCGAATTACCAGTATTCATCGATCTTAGCCACTTGGCCACAGATAGGTCGCAGTAAGAAAGATTAGACTCATATTTATTCTGCTTGACACTTTACCTAATAGACTAATATCTCGACGCATGCTAGGTCGTGATATTAATCTGATATAATTAAACAGGGTCCCAGAAATTTGTTTGTGTTCTGGTACCCTTACCTACATCAACTCTGTATGAAATGTATCAAATAACAATAAAGGCGCTAAAATACGAACGTTTGCACTCTCGGACCTATGGGTTCTTATACTTTTATTATTCACAAATCCAGATGCAGAAATGAAGTCGTATACAACTGCATCTTAATTAGAATGGTTAATTAATGAATTGTTGGATTGTTTTATTAACAATGTTAACATTTGCTTCATATAGTCTAATGCACTCTTGCTAGATGAAATAAGTCTGTACGCAGAGTGTATTCGTTAAATGAAACTTCTGACATTTTAAAATATATTAATTTTAACTTAATTACTACCAAAAAACAACTCTCTTCAGTAGCCTTAAATTTCAAGATAACTGTCTCGGGTATCTAGCAGAAACTCAATAAACTACTGAAGAAGTAAGAACTACATAGAGCATCGTACTGAGAATTTAGTTCATAAACTTGTCCTCGTTACTATTTCTTCTGCAGTGAGAAAGGAACTAATTTAATTTAGAATGGCAAGTCGCATAATAGATCTTTGAATCGTACCTTTCTTTTCAAGTCTCAGGAGAGTAACTATTGATAAATTATAATAAATGTACTTAAAATCTTAGTTATTGTTTTTATCAGTGGTTACAACGGCCTATCTGAAATTATATGCTCAAGCTAGCAAAGATTTAATGGCACAACAGAGACCTGCTGTAGAAAAATGTTCATTACTAATTTTACATACTATAGCAACTTGTAGATCTCGAATGCAAACTAGCAGAAATTTATTTCGTAGAAGCTCAAACTGTTCCTAGGCTCACTGCTGTAACTATTATCACCCTCTTAGTTCAAGAAATTCGCACTAAGCTATTAGCTGACGTAAGAAATGATTAAATGAGGCACTCAATCAGCCATTTCGAGATGTAATTAGTTCAGATATAAAAATGTTCAGAAAATCAGTAAATTAAATATTTTTCTTTTAAATTTCCTATTTTTAAATAAGCGGAAAATCTTTTCATTTTCGTTTCTTTATTCATTTTGTTTCTTCACCTACGGGACCCTGTTAGCTATTTTGACAAACTTTGCTAATTGTAATCGGTTCGAGTAGCAGTTTGGTTGCATATGGGATTTTGTGAATATAAGTTTCTTTCCCTTAAGTTGTCCTCCTTGAAAGTATCTGCAGGACAAAAATTGCTTCGACATGGTGATAAATATTTGATTTTATAACTGATAAAATCTTCTTATGTTATTATTTACTTACGAACTTCTAAACGTTACCATTATAGAGTAAAACCTCGCCCAAGTTTGATTAAGCAATAGCAATTAATTTCAAAACACATCAAAAACAAAAAACATGGGTTCAATAATTACGAAAGCATACTGAAGCTGCACAGAAAGGTTGTAGAGACATTAGGTTAATTGGAAAAGCCGTAGAGAGGAAAAATTAGCAAAAGCCTTTGCCGGGAATAGAACCGCGGACCTCTCAGTTACGCGCTGAGCGTGCAGACCACTACACCCCGAAGGCTCGTTAAGAAGGCCGGAGAAATACCTTATAAGGTTTCGCGGGAAAATCGTTCATATGTCTATTTTTATAACTAATTTTAAAAGTCACCTAATTATGTAATGAGAGCATCAAATAAATAATGATAAACTTGGGGGGGGGAATACAGAGTTCCTTTCAGAAAAATACATTTAAGGGGTATAAACGCCATCTTAACTTGAAATCGCAGTTATATACTGTGATATCGAGTCTGTTCAGATGATAATCCGGTCAATGAGTTAAGATCAAATTACATGTTTTATATTTAAGCAGAAATCACTAGTGTCGTAGTCAAGTAGAGACTGCTCGGATCTGGTAAAGTTCTCTGAATTGTTCATTTGATAAAGACACTAGTCTTCTGGCTTCGATCTTAAAATGAGGTTCAAATTTTTAACAAGAGGCTTAACTAATAAGTTAATTCCAAATAAATCCATAGAGGGTAATAAGGCTCTCCAACATCGATATGATAAATCTTTCTCCAAAATAGGAGGGGGAATAGAATGGAATGCGAATCTAATCACACTAGGATCAAAGTGACACGAATCTCATGGTTTAAGAACGGAAGCTCTGGATGAAGCCCAGATTTTGACAGTCTCGTAACGAGAGAAAAAGTCAGTATTCATACAGGAGGAAGAAGTTCCAATAATAATAACAATAATAATAATAAAATTATCAGTGATGTCAGAATATCGTAATTAATTTCTACAATTATCTAACTATTTTCGGTACTTACGTATTATAGCAACCACTTTAGTAGAAATCGCCAATGCTTTTAGAATATACCAAAAACGCATAACTATTATTCAGGCAGCCATGAGCAAGACAAATATCATTTCCAACAGGGCCATTTTCGCATGCGTTCTTTTTGCTGTATTCCTAGTTCCAACGGCTTTATAGAAAAATTATGATTATTTTTTGTCTTAAACTCGATTTTTAAAATTTGTGCTTGTGGGATTTTCCTATAAAAGAAGAAAGAGAGGTGAAATTTCTACAGGAATAGATTATTATTAGCAACATCGCTAAAGGAACAAGCTTCAAATTCTTTTTCAAAGCGATTGCTAAGAAATTTTTATCGCAACAAAAACCAAAACCAGTATGTAATTAGTTTTACTGATCGCCTTTTGGATTAAATATGTAGTTGAAAATGTATAATATGAATATAATAATGTCTTTGTGAGCCCACCAATGAGTCGAAGAAAGGTAAAGTAAAAATAAGTTTTCCCAAAAAATATAGTAATTTAGAATACATCGTATTGCATAATAAGATATACTTTTCTCGTCGCGCTTAGAATAAAAGGTTAAAATACTCTTTTAAAGAAAGAAATATCGTGACATCAAATAAAACTACAAACATTGTAAAAAATTTTCTCCGTCCTTAGGGCGTGCTATTGTGGTGTGGAATTCGAATCCTGATGACGACTTCGACATTTTTTCATGTTTCTTGCTCCGAAAAGCCTAATGACTCTACAATAGTTTCGACTGAAATTTGAGTGTCAAGCTTCATAAATACAGGATATAATGTTCCTTATGGGTAGTTGACAGGATATTTTATGAAATTTCAACAGATATTTCTATTAGTGTATGCCAATAAAAATAAAACTGAGCTGAAACTCAGCAGACGAAGCATGAGACATGTTTCCCCAGTTCCACTTTGAAAGGGTGCAGTGTATAAAGTATTTCCTCCCTTCTTCGCGTATGCCTTCGTGACGTAACTGGAAGCACGTCCAACGCGTAATCAAGAGATCTGGAGTTCGAATCCTGGCAAGGACATTACGAATTTCTTCAGATTCTGAACATAGAAAAGTTACTTAAAAAATATTAGCCTGAGTTATGAGGAAGAAAGTGCCGTATCTTCTCAAGACACAGCAATTTTTTTTTACTATATTTAGTGACATGTGATTTCTGTGAGTTCCCAACATTCAAAAGGTAGGGTAGAGGTTCTCAGTAGCACATCCGTGGCCTGAAAAGGATATCACAAAATACCCTTTTTCGTGTTTTTAAAGTGCTTATAAAATGCTGTGGAAGGTGTAGTTTAATGTCAAGGACACAAATTTAAAAAATAAAAAAATACAATGCCAATTTTCATCTGATTTTGAATAAACGAATGAGTTTTGAAACATTTCAGTCAGCCTACATAGGATATGAACTAATTAATCCCTTCCTTTTTTTTTTTCAAACTAGTTTTAAGAGAATGAATGACTTTGAAGGATTCTGTGGTAACTGCAAGCTAAATTTCTAAAGACCTTACTAGAGAGATAGGCGCGTTATCGCTACATCTTAAAACAACTCACCGCTGAAGAAGTTTAAAATAATTTTGAATCTTAAATTGAGTAGAGTAAGCTCAGCTTATGCTACAGATAAAACTTCCACTACTTGTGGATATTTTTAAATTAACATAACAAAAGTTAAATGTAAACATAGAAAAAATAACGTAGTCTAAGGCTAGACATAAAATAGATTACTTAAGCTAGCTCAGATAACTACCGGCGCGTATTTTAAACATCGGATAACAAGACGCTAGAGTCAAAGTGTAATTTTAAGCAGAGCTGCCGAGAGTAAATAACAGCAAGACGCGGGGGCCAGAAGATCTAAACTTTAAAATCCCTAAGCTTAATTACACAAAATTTAATTCGCATTCTTGTGAGGAATACGGAATAGGGAAGTTGTAGTAAAGACTTAAATCATAATAAATGACTAATTAAGAAAAAGTCTTAAACCAAACACTGTTAGAGAATGACTGAATAACAAATTAAGTTAAAAGACTTTCACTGATATTGATATGTTCTATATTGTTCCTAAACGGTGAATGGTGTTATGAAACGTTTGAAAATTGATGCATTCAATCCAGTGCTAATACCGAAGAATTTACATTCTACACATCCTACACATATTTCCTGGACTTAACAATAAAAGAAGATATTCCAAAACTTTCCTTTTCAGGAGCAATGCTTTTAAATGCATGACTTGAGCAAAATTCCGCCAGCGTTATGCTTCTTCTCCTACACATCTCATGAAAAAAAAGAAAAAAAAAAAAAAAAAAACACAAACAATGAACAAGCGAGAAAGTACCGAATGGCAACCTTAATACCAAATCAGAGGAGGTCAGTAGGCTGACTTCTATAAAAGCTTCTGCCTTCCTCATGGACGCATTCAGACGAAGAAGCACCAGTAGTTAAAGACGAGTTCCTACCCAGGTAAGTGGCAATAGATTACCACTCCCTTTCTCTGATACAGATTGGTTATAATGGGAGTTCTTTTCTCCGCAGTACTGAAGTCGTATGTTAGGTAGATTTTGTTTACTTTAAATGGGATTCATTTTTTTTTTTTTTGCTATTAATTGGCTATTTACTTGATTGAACCATGGAGGATTTAAATTGGCTTAGTGTATTTAGGATTTCACTTTCGCTGAAATGAAAGAAATGAGAGAATAACAGTAGGTATTTAAACTTAGTATGAATAAATCTATTGTATTTCCATGTCTCAATAGGTATTTTTTCAACATGTTTTTCCTTTTTTCCATTATATTTCCTACTGTGTTTGATATAGTGCTAAACCTACTACATTTATACCTTTGTATTATTTTAGTCATTACTAATCATGGAGCTGATATAATTTTTGAGTTTCATTAAGGTTTATTATTTTATTTTCTATTCCTTTTAAAATCTTTTAGTGAATTTCATTGCTATCGATATTGATATATGAAGCTATATGAATATTTTATTGATATATGAAGTACCGCTAAATTACAAAATACAAATTTCATTATTTTTATGGTTTTCATTAGTTTATTACCTTAAAGATTTAATAAAATGTATAAGTCGTTTTCATAATTTCAATCTCACTGAACGAAAATACTGTGTATGGAATTAAAGTGTTAGTCTGAATAAATATAATTTTATTACAAGCAACAATACGTTGTGGCTCCAGAACGGTTAGAGAATTAGAGAAACATTTACAAAACTCGGCTTTTCTATTATAGGTTTCCTTATGACTTGGCTAAACATCCAGCTAAGTTGCCACATAAAATGTCTTAATTTAAAACTGATCTGTGGCAATGGAATAAAAGAAAATAGACAAAGATATTTTAATAAATTTAAGACAATTAAATACGTTTGTATCAATATGAAATAAAATATTTCATAATTTATAACTGATCGTTCATTGTTCGAAGATTGTAAACATTTGGATGTAATTTTGAGGCAAATAATGATAATAGCATGTAAAACGACCAACAGACTGGTTAGAATGCTTAATATATCTTTCAGTTTTCCTGTTCAAAACTGTACGTTAAAACTTATCCAAAAGGATAGATTTCTATATTCTAAATACAAGTTATTCTTCGACTAAAAGTAAAGCAGAATTCAAGACATAATTTCACCGATCCTTAATTCATAATACAGTATATACGTGGTGGTTTTAGACTTATACGATTAAATTCTGAATCTTGAATCTGAAATATCAAAATTCTCACAATTAAAAATATTCTCAGAATATGATAGAGAATTTTATGTATGCAGTTTAAGTAATGCTGGTGGAAGAAATCGTGAATAAAAAGTTTAGTATCCCATATCTGTAGAGAAAAATGTCTAATCAATAAAATATAATATGTGTTGTGCTTAGATATGTTCAACGGAAAAACTCCTATACACTTTACCCATAACTCGCTTATTCATGGAAATAGAATAGACTTAAAAACTAGAATCATTTTCTAGTACATACTACCAAATGAATAAGAATAATTTATGCTTGGATTTGGTATATTTGATTGTAGCAAAGCGCACGAGGGCTATCTGCATAAGGAGAGGTATGCTTCATGGAGGATTTTGTAAGGAAAATTTGCTCGTATACACGTTACACATGAAAAACAAAAACACGAAAACGTCCATGCATACAACCCGTTTGCCAGGATTCGAACCCCGGATCGTTCTACGACTACTAGCGTTCTACTACTTTACCACTCAGCAAATGGTTGGCCCGCTTCGACTGGAAGAGTAATTACAAAACAAAATATGTTTGTTTTGTCAGTTAATGACTCCGTACTAGGTAAACCAAACCTCGTTATTCATTAAGTATCCAGAACCCTGTAATTATTAATTATAAATATCTGTGGAAATTTTACATGTAAGTGTCGGAACACTTTGTAACACTTAGTAGTTCAACTTGTAACGTACTCTGTGTTAACCAGTTGATCTTTACTATAACTTCTTCCTTCCGTATTCCTTGCGAGAATGCAAATTACATTTAAGTGCATATAAACTGATGACTTTTTGTTCTTAGAGCTTTTGGCACTAGCCTAGAGCTTTTAGAATTTTACTAGCTCTATTTTAAAATAATTATTCTGGCTTTGGCATTTCGCTAGCCGATTGCTTTGAACTTACTCGCTGGTGAAATTACTTGAGCCAGCCTAGAGCTCAGTATATTTGATGTCGCTGGTGAAATTACTTGAGCCAGCCTAGAGCTTCAGTATATTTGATGTCGCTGAAATTACTTGAGCCAGCCTAGAGTTAGTATATTTGATGTCGCTGGTGAAATTACTTGAGCCAGCCTAGAGCTTAGTATATTTTGATGTCGCTGGTGAAATTACTTGAGCCAGCCTAGAGCTTAGTATATTTGATGTCGCTGGTGAAATTACTTGAGCCAGCCTAGAGCTTAGTATATTTGATGTCGCTGGTGAAATTACTTGAGCCAGCCTAGAGCTTAGTATATTTGATGTCGCTGGTGAAATTACTTGAGCCAGCCTAGAGCTTAGTATATTTGATGTCGCTGGTGAAATTACTTGAGCCAGCCTAGAGCTTAGTATATTTGATGTCGCTGGTGAAATTACTTGAGCCAGCCTAGAGCTTAGTATATTTGATGTCGCTGGTGAAATTACTTGAGCCAGCCTAGAGCTTAGTATATTTGATGTCGCTGGTGAAATTACTTGAGCCAGCCTAGAGCTTAGTATATTTGATGTCGCTGGTGAAATTACTTGAGCCAGCCTAGAGCTTAGTATATTTGATGTCCGCCGAAAACATCGCGGACGGAAACATCGCGGAGAAAACAACGCAAGGCGAAAACGTCGTGGAACAAACACATCGCAGTTTAAAAACATCGTCGTCGAAAATATCATGATAAAAAATAAAGTACCTACAAATCATCGCTTGACGATAACATCGCAGACATGCGTTTTCAGGCTTTAATAATTGTAAAAAGCTACTCGCATAATAATTTGTGAGCGCAAGATGGAAAGAAAGATAATTTTTACTTTCATATATTTTATTTAGTAACAAATATTTGTTGAAAATGTAAAGTGGAAGATTAAGCATAGAAAATTAATACAACTTATAGCACTTAATAGGATTTTAAACTGACATTAATAAATTATTTTTTTATTTAAGTTTTACCAGTTTTACTGGTAATTTTTCAAGAAAAGTGTAATTTAGAAAAGCACAGAGATAATGCCGTGACTGAAAATTCCTCGGATGGTGCTAATACTTTGCCTGAAATCAACTGCTCTCATTTAATTGTTCTTAACCTAAGTAAATAAAATAATTAGGGTGTATTACTTAACAACAATATATGGCAAATTGTGGATACTCTTAATAAACTTACTTATATTTAAAGGAAGTACTGCAGTTTGATTAACTTTGAAACCGAACATTGCTTTTGCATTAGTTATTTCTTTCAAAAACTGCAGAAATACACCTTAAAAATTATTAAACAGCATATCGGCAGTTATACATAGATAATATTTCTTTTAACAATATATTTTTTCGAATGGAAAAATTAATCGTTATCTTGGCCAAAGAAATACCTAATTTTGTAAAATATAACGTCTTAATGGTTTCCCGTCTCTTATGCAATAAGCGGAACAAAAATGATCCCCTTAATCTGCAGCTTATTAAGTCACTAGACACCGACCTACCTGGCCTCGAGGCAGATGAAAGGAATTTTTCCTTGAAAGGGCAGGGTCGTGGCCTAGGTTGCTTTAGAAATTAGGTCGCAATTTCGGATTTGTATCTTCGTAGCTATTCATATGAAATTAGAAGTGATTCACATACCCCCAACAGCTCCTGGAATAGCCTAATTAAGTTATAGGGTCACTTGTGGCCAGGCAGGTGGCTGCTTCTCACAAACAAACAAACCTTAATGTTTCCCCCTTTTAGTTTAAGAAAAATATACGTACTCTTATATTATAAGCGAATTGCGTATTATTTCGTAAAACATTCACAGATACAAAACTACGTTTCAGTTTTGTTAGCTTCAAATACAGTAAGCCTACAAATACAAATATCCGTTACAAATCCTTCGGCCTAGTATACAGATAGATAAAATACAAAATTTATAAAATCACGTAATAAAAGTTATAGATATGAAATTAAAGTATAAAATACCAACGATTTATGAAACAGTTAAGTTTGAAACTTAGAAATAACTAAGGAAGCATAAAATAACTAACTCTGCGACTGAGAATGTTACCAACAAACCTGAAGATCTCTCGTCGTCCAAGATCGTGTCTTCAGTAAATGTTTGATCAGAAGGACTATGGGTTAAATCCAATGCTGCTTCATCCAAGCAGCGAAAGCACACAGTTCACAATTCCACATCGATGACATATTGATGAAGTAGAGATGACTAATCAAGTAATCACAACCTGGTTTGAATTCCAGACATATTTTTTGAGTAACGAAGTAGAAGCAGGAACGATTCTTTCTGAGATTTATATCTAATTTGGCGTAGAACACCAACGAGAGAAATACCTTATATATTCCCTCTTTTAAAGGGCGACTGGGGTTTTAGGGTACCTCAATTGTCAAATCCTGGGTGTGAAGAATCATCATCCACCACCTTCTTAGTTTGGGCGCTACTGCATAGTCATTAGGTTTTTTTGTAAGCCGGAGGTGTGAAAAATGAGCAGCGCTTTCGCCAGGAATCGAATCGCGGACCTCTGGAATACGCGCTCAGCGTGCAGGCCACCACGCCACGAAGGCACGCTAAGAAGGCGGGAGAAATGCCTTATAATACAACAACTGCTTGACTGTTTGTAGAAAGATGTTCAAATAAGCGATAACCAGTTAAAATTATGCTTCTATGAGCTACAAGTGAACCATGAACATATCTCTCTAGCAACGCTTACAGCCCTAACTCTGACAGACAAAATGCACGATATTACTGGCATTCAGAATGCGATTCTAGAATGCTTGACAGCTCTGCC